GCTGGAAGGTGGACACGTCGTCGTATTGCCTCCATGTTCTTCCACACGCTTCCGACTCCCTGCTGCTCAGGAGATGTAGGCAGGCTACGCCCTGGCAGAGGTGCCTGCTCACGTCGCTTCTGTAGGCCGTCGTAGACCTCGCCTGGGTTCAATCGGGTGTGCATCTCCATCTCCTGTTTCTCTATCAGCGCGAGGCGATCCAGCAGCTCAACTTTATCGCGCTGCAAAACCTCTAGTCGCTTCTTTTCCTCGCTCTTTCTCACTTCCTCGGAGGCTCCTGCCATGACCCAGTCCTCTTCCTTAGGGGCAGCGGCGGCCTCCCCAGTCGGGGCGGCAGACGTTAGTCCAGGCACAGCTCCGTCTGGGGATTCTTTGGTCTTCGATGCTCCCTTCGCCGACGCCTCCACCACGTATACAGGATGGGCCCTCGCAGGGCCGCTGGATAAGGAGAAATCTGGCTTCTCGCAGCGGCGCGTGTAGAGATTGAGGCGCACGATGCGGTCGTTCTTAGTGATGAAGTGGATGGTTGCCGGCGGCGTCAGGTAATCCCTGAAGATATCCTGACGCGGATACCAGCTGCAGAAGATCTCGTCCATCTCCTCTGGCGTGAAGGGCACCTCCTTATCCTCGCGCCGCTGGTCGTTGTCGTCCCCGGTGGCCTCAGGATCCTCGCTGGCCTCGTCCTCGTTCTTCACTTCCTTGCTGCTTCTTGCCTTCTTTCTCTCTTTCTTCTCTTCTTTGCTGCTCCTCGCCTTCTTCTTCTTCTCTTTCTTTTCTTCCTTTTCTTCCTTCTCACCGCGGTCTTCTGGTGGACTCCGCTTCTCTTTCTTCGCACCGCGGCCTTCTGGTGTAGTCCGCGACCTTGAACGCGAGGAAGCCTCCGCCTCGGGCGGAGGAGGGGCACGAGGCTCGCGAAGAACAGCTCCCCGATCACGCTGGCGGTCGCCACGACGATCTCGATGATGATCTTCACGCTGCTTGGTGTCACGACTCCCGCCTTCACCGCGCCGATCGTCACGGGGCTTGGTATCACGATTGCCGCCCATCACGATCTTGAATATAGTTGCCGTGATCTCGTCGAGATCCACCTCAGCCGCCGTACAAGGCCTCGAGGTGGTCAGCTGCAGGCGCACGAGCCGACCCTGGGCGAAGTCGAGGCTCTCGAAGCGGCCTTGCTTGAAGAAGATAGGCTTCTTGTTCGTCACGCGCTCCACGATGTGATGGACCGTGGCAAGGTCAGGAAACTCCAACTCCACGCTGTGCCCCTTTGCGTGGGTGTTGGCCAGAATGCGATGGCAACGCACGCATGCATCCACATCCTCCTGATCCTCCCCGCGCCTGGCACGGGCGCGCGCACGTTCATCGCTGCTCTGTGCGGCCCCTGGGCCGTCGTCGGCGTCCTGGCGTAGGCTCGGCGCAGGCATGCTTTTGGGCCTGGGGTGCATAATGATCCGCTCTGGCGCGTCCGCTCGACCCTCCACCGGATGCCTCTGGGCAGGCGCCGACTGGGGAGCACGGCGCCATGGAGCGCGGCCACGACGCTCCTCGGCACTGCCTGCCATGCCAACCCAGTGGACGATCGGTCCATGCACCTGCCTAGGCGCCGGCGGCTTCACAGAGCTCCGCTGGTTGGGCGACGCTGGCTGGCCATTCTTAGGCCCGATCTTGTTGCACGGCTCGCGCTCGCCACTCTTCACCTTGGGGCACTCTGGGTCGCCACGCCAATGGCCAGGCTGATCGCAGTCAGCACACCGGCTGTTAGCCTTGCGCTGGTCTGTCGGCTTCCGACCAGCCTGGAAGGAGCCGCTGGCGTTGATCTTCTTGGGGTCCCGCTGCCGAGGAGCAACGAACCCGCGCTTCTGACGCTGTACCGCCGTCTTCTGCTTGGCCCTCCAGCCGGCCAAGAACGCTTCCTGAAGATCCTCCGGTGCCTCGTACTCCTCGTCATCTGGCCCGTCGTTGTCCGACGCCAGCTCCTCTTCGACCTCGGCGCCTTCCTCGAAGAAGGGGCCCTCGGCCCCTCCGAGATCTCCTTCGTCCTGGTCGTCTGGTTCATCTTCGTCATGCTGCGCCTCCTCCAAGTCGCCGTGGTGTTCATCGTAGTCTTCGCCGTTCTCTACCTCGTGTACGTGCTGGCCAGAGCGTCCTCGCAGCACGCGCGGCCTACGAGCCATGGGCGGGTGCGGATAGCGACCGCCCGAACTCCCAGAGGAGCGCCCGTGCTCACGCTGCGCCGCAAACGGCGAGCGGCGAGGGAGCACTGAGCGCTTCTCGGTGTCGTGCACCTTCGAGTAGGCTGCCTTCAGCACGACCTCCATCCGCTTCGAGTCGTAGATGCCGCCACAGTTGAAGAGCACCTGCGCTCGCTCCTTCTGCGACAGTCCAGCGCCACGAAGCATCTTGCTTGCCAATGCGCGATCGCTGATCGCTGATGTGGGATCCTCGAGCTGCAACTCCATGCGCTTCTTGCGCAGGTACGTGGTCCAATCCATGATCGGCTGCCCAGCTCGACGGTGTGCTCGCTCCCAATCCTGATGCACCTGATCGAGGCGCTCGTGATCCATCTTCTCGAAGGCGTCGTCGTAGATAGCAAAGATGGTCTCGAGCGTCTCCTCGCGTCGGAGGTCCGACGCGTCAAGCACCTCGATGAGCTCTTTGGCTCGACCTGTCACTTGACTGTAGATGATCAGGCCCAGCTCCACATCTGAGAGCTGGTTGAGGTTGCGGATGACTTCAACCTCCTTGCGCCACTCTCGGTACTTCTTAGTACTCGTACCGACTGCACCATCGAACTCTGGGAGCTTCACCTGCGACAGCAGTAGACGTGCCCGTCTGGGACCGCCGTCGCCACCACGATCCCGATGCAAGGCCAGGAGCTCCCGCTGGGTCTCGGCCATCACGCGCAGGACCGCATGCAGGTCCGGGGGACCTGTGCCTGCGGAGGACGCAGCCTCCACGTCTGAGCCGTCTTGGCTGGCGGCCATGGCGGCCCACGCGGGTGGTCACAACCACCGAAGCAGAGCACGCAGTGCGTCCGCTGGAGCTTACTAGCTCCGCTACCAATGTCAGTGCAGTTGTTTTCAGCAAAGACCGCGCGGCAGTCCAACTGCGGGTGCGTCCCAGGGCCCTAGGACTAGGGCCAAAACAGCGGCGGGCAGCGTGCATGCCACAAAACAAGACAAGCGTGTACAACATACACACATGGTGGCACGGGCGGCAGAGGGGCAGGGGAGTGCACTCTTCACACTCCTCCTCCTCCTCCTCCTCCTCCCCGTCCGGCGGCCCGCTGCGGGCCTCGGCGGCCCGGAAGCGCGCGCGGCCCTCGGCGTCCGTGGTGACCACGCCCTCCTGCGGGCTGCGGGGTGGGGGGCTCGGCGCCGTGCCGAAAGGGGGGGGGAGGCTGCGGGAGGCTGCGGGAGGAGGAGGAGGCGGAGGAGGAGGAGGAGGAAGAGGAGGAGGAGGAGGAGGAAGGATGAGGAGGACGCGGCTCGCGACGATGTCGCAGGAGGAGGAGGAGGAGGAGGAGGAGGAGGAGGAGGAGGAGGAGGAGGAAAAGAAGCAGGAGGAGGAGGAGGAGGAGGAGGGACATGGAGGGAGGAGGGGGAATGTCCTCCCCCTCCCCTCCCCATCCCCCCATCCTCCATCCCTCGTCCTTCTAAAGAACTCCTCCCTGTCGCGTCCCCAGACGTGTCAGTATGACGGGCCGGGCGTCTCGCCTGAGACTTCCTCACCGTTCATGGATGGAGGGCGGGCCGTTTTCAAAAGATGGCTCTCGCCTCAGCACCGCGCGCAGTCGTCATACAATTTCGCAGGCGTGGTGTTCTGGCACGATTGGGAACTGCCAGGACGCAACAGTCCCTGCCCTTTACTAGCCTCCCCCCCTCCTCTCCCTCCCTCTCCACGAGGGAGAGGCGGCAATAAGAGCAGGCTGGCGACGGTCCGCGGCGGTCTCCTTGGCCTCCGTGGGCGCGGACGCGGGCGCCGCTGCCGCCGCCTCTGGGCCCTTCTTGCCCTTGCCCGACGCGGCCTTGCTGACCTAGGGGCGCCCCTTCGCAGCCGCTGGGCCGCTCTCCCGACGGGGCGGGGAGGGGGAGAAGATGAGGGGGAAGAACGTCGCGTTGGTGGCAGTCAACGCCGTCATGACAGGTAGGTGTCAAGGCCGTACAGTCGACCCGTGTCGTGAAGGCGCACGATAAGCATGCAGGGGCCTTGGAAGGCCGTTCCGAAGCTTTCTGAGCGGGGCGCGGCCAACGAAAGTGGCCAAGAATGGGCCGAGGAGGCAAGGATGCATGGGTCCCCCTGGGAAAATTGCCCATCCTTGCCATTCGGGTTGACTGCAGTCTGGTGGAGGTGCGGTTGCACCCCTCTCTTCGGCCGCCTCCGCTGGCCGAGGGCACCTGCTGCGGCCGCGCCGCCCTCTCCACTTTTGTGGCGCACCCCCCCACTGGCCATCGCTCGGACGTCCATTCCCTGTGTTTTTGTTTGGTTTCGTGCGTGGTTTTCGCCAAATGATCAAGGATGTTCCTAGATGGTCCTCGCCGAAGGAAGAATGCACACGCCCGAGCGATGCCAAGCCCATAGAAGAAGACGAAACGCCACAACCATCAACATTTGGCGCTCCGCGCGGATTTATTGGATCTGCGTTTGACCCCCCTCCCTGGCGCGCGGAGCGCGCCAGGGACGGCGCTGGAGGCGCCGCCAGGGGGGCCCAGCGTGGATCCAAGAAATCTGCACGGAGCGCCACCAATTTATGTTTTTGGGCGTTCTTTCTCTTCTTCGATCTTACGTGTAGTCGACAAGGGCAGCTACGTGACGTATTCCCCCTGTAGAGTCACGCCCGACTTCATTCAAGGCTGCTGCTGCCCCATTCCCCCCCGGCGCTCGAACCACCCCCCGCCCGACGCAGCGCCCAAGTGCCCCGCGGCCTGCGCGCGCAACGCGCCGCCCGATGCCCCGCGGGCTCCCCCCCCCAGGCCTAACTTGAACCGGCCCTTCTACTCAAGTCCTCCCGCGTGCAACGCATCGCTCTGGCGCTGGCGCCCAGCGGCCTTCGCGCGCAATGCGCCGCCCGATCTTTCACGAGCTTCGCTCGGGGAACAACAAGTAACATAAACATAAAAACTCGGAGGTCCGCGCGGATTTCTCGGATCGGCGCTTGGGCCCCCCTCCCTGGCGCGCGGAGCGCGCTAGGGGCGGCGCCGGAGGCGCCGCCGGGGGGGCCCCAGCGCCGATCCAAGAAATCCGCGCGGACCTCCGAGTTTCTATGTTTATGTCACTATTTGTTCCCCTATTCGCCCCTCTTCCTCCTCCTCCTCCTCCTCCCTAATCCTCCTCTCCTCTACTGTCATCATCTCCCTCCTCTCCTCATCCCCCTCCTCCTGTGGAAGGTGTCTCGTGGAGGGGCCCCCTGCTGCAGGAGGGCAATGCGCCGCCGCCCGGGCGAAGGGGCCCGCGGCCTGGAAGCGCGCGCGGCCCTCCGCGTCCGTGGTCACCGCGGCGGGGCGCGCAGGGCCCTGGCGGGGCGGGGCGCCGTGGAGCGGGGGGGGGGCGGTTCAGGAGGGGAGGGGAGGGGAGGAGGAGGAGGAGGAGGTAGGAGGAGGAGGAGGAGGAGGAGGAGGAGGAGGAGGAGGAGGAGGAGGAGGAGGAGGAGGAGGAGGAGGAGGAGACGAGGAGGAAGGAGGAGGAGGGAGGAGGAGAGGAGGAGGGGAGGAGGGGAGGAGGAGGAGGAGGGAGGAGGAGGAGGAGGAGGAGGAGGAGGCGGGAAGGGAAGGGTGCGAGCAAGGCGAGGGCAGGGCTGGAGGGGGCGGGGGGGATAGAGGGGGCGAGGGGAGGGGCGAGCAGGGGGGGGGGGAGGAGGAGCCAGACGGGGGGGGGGGAGGGGGAGCAGAGGGGGGAGACGTGGGACGAGCAGGGAGGGAGAGGCGAGCCGAGGGGGAACAGGAGGAGGAGGAGGCGGAGGAGGAGGCGGAGGAGGAGCGCAGATCGATGCTCGAGCGCTTCGGTGCGGATCGCGAGGACGCAGGTGACTTCGTCGAGGCGCTCTGGACAGACGAGGCGCTGGCACAATCTTGTCTCATGTGGCGAACATTCGGTTCTCGCATCAAGTATGTACAGCTGTCAGATGGCAAATGTGGGTCTCCAATGGAAAGCAATGCAAACCAGTGCAACTCAATGCACCGCACTGCAAAGGAAACTGCAAACCAGTGCGCAGCAATGCCAAGCGGTGCAAGGCTATGCAAAGCAGTGCACCGCAATGCACAGCAATGCAAAGGATTGCGATGCTATTGCAATGCGATTGCAATGCAATGCAATGCAAAACAATGTGATTGCAAATCAATGTTTAGCAATACAGCGCAATGCAAATCAATATAATGCAATTCAAACCAATGTAAAGGAATGTAGCGCAACGCAGAGCAATGCATACTAATGGAAAACAATACGAAACAATGATAACCAATGCAACATAATGCAAACCAGTACACCGCAATGCAACGCAATGCAAATCAATGCGCAACAACGCAATGTGACGCACTACAAAGCAACGCACAACAGTGCAAAGCCATGCAACACAATGCACCGCAATGCAAAAGAAACTATAATCCAATGCGCAGCAATGCAAAGTACTGGAAAGCAATGCCAAGGAATGTAAGGTAATGCGATGCAAACCAATGCAATGCATGAAATGCAATGCATGCAATGCAATGCAATGCAATGCAATGCAATGCAATGCAATGCAATGCAATGCAATGCAATGCAGCGGGCGGCGACGGGCGGCACTGGGGCCCAGCGGCGTCGGCGGCGACGGGCGACACTAGGGCCCAACGGCGACGGCGGTGACGGGCGGTGACTGGCGGCGACGAGCCAGCAGGACCGGCACCCTGGCTCAGCCACCTGAGAAAAATAAATACCTCGAAGTGCAAGCACTGTTTTGGCAGTATGAACATTTGGCCGTTCCAATTTGGAACATACACATTCCCATGCGGAGAAAACTACAACTCTCGTTTGCAAATCACACCGCTAACATGTTGTTCAAATACGACAGCTACACACTTCATTTGCAAAGGATGAGATTTTCATGCGTAGCTATCACACCCCTCACATGAACAAGCCATGCCGCGCATGTAAAACTACACAGCTCCCTTGTCGGGAGACACGCTCACGCTTCTCATATGAAGGCGTTGCAGTAAACCGATGAAGCTCGCACAGCTCTCCAATAACAGTGTCACAATCTTCACATGCATATGCATTCCCCATGTGAGTCCCACCAGCCCTCTGGGCGCAGGCGGTTTAACGAGATTTCCCTTCCCTCTTCCAAGAAACCCTCTTCCCCTACGGGGAGGGGTTTATTACTGTTCCCTATTCAAAAACACCCCCTCCCAGCCAGGCAGCTGGGAGCCAACCAGGGACAATGAGGGCAACCCCTCACCATCCTTTTTTTGTTTTTGTTTCAAAAAACATATAAAAACAAACGTTTATATATATACACACACACACACACACTCTGCCTCCAAATTCGGAGCATGCGCAGCCAACCCGATGCGGCCTCACTCCACCATCCCTATCAACAAGCAGTACAGAATACACTTGGCGGCGGCGGCGGCGGCTGCGGCGGCTGCGGCGGCTGCGGCGGCGGCGGCTGCGGCGGCGGCGGCGGCGGGCGGCGCGGCGGCGGAGCCGGCGGCGGCGGATTCGCCCCCAGTAGCTGCCCATCCAAAGATGATTGCTGAATATGCTGAGACTCGGGCCAGACTCGGGTGCTACGTATATGTTGGGAGGGCGGGTGGGGGTGAGCGAGACGGCTTGCGGGCGGGGAGGGAGTCTTGACCCCTCCCTTTACCCCTCCCCGGGATTTTTTTTTGTGGGGGCCCGCGAGGTGTCACGGCGTCCAAAACGGCCTCGGCGAGGAAACCCGCATCATTTGTTTTACTCCATGTTGGTTTTTTTTGGGGGGGGGAGGGCGGATGACAAGTGTCCCACCAGCCGGGGCGCCCACATCATTGGTTTTACCGAGGTTTGGGCCCCATTTGGGCTTCTTCTTTTTGGGGGGGAGGGCTGGACATTATCCCACCAGCCCTCTGGGCGCCCAAACCATTGATTTCACAAAAGTTTTAGCCCGATGTTGACATTTTTTGGGGGGGAGATGAACGTTATACCATCTCCTCGTTTGATCGATGGCCTTCAAGATGGCCCCCAAAAACCTTCTAGGGCGCCGAAGAGGGCCCCAAGACCCCCAAAAGAGCCCCAAGCTAGCTCCAATACCCCCCCCAAAAGCCCCAGGAGAGCTCCAAGAGGCGATTTTGAAGGCTCCTGAGAGGGGGCCGAAATCGGGGAACCTCATCTTTAGATCGATGCTTTCCTAGATGGCCCCAAGAGGCCTTCGAGGGCACCAGTCGCAGCATCAGCAGAAGCAGCAGCAACATCTGAAGCACCACCAGCAGCAACAGCAGCAGCAGCAGCAGCAGCACGAGGGATCTTTGGATCACTCCACCTCCTCCTCCTTTTCCTCCCCTTTTTGCCCTCCCCCCCACGCAACCCCCGGGGATGGCCCGAAGAGGCCCCCCCAAGGCCACCCCCCTGCTCCCAGAGATCACTCGGTTCATGCTGGTTGCCCGCCTTGTTTCCCTAGATGTGTCCTTCCGTCCCTTTGCCCGTCAGCTCTCGTGGGCAGGGCTTCTGAATGGGCTGGTGGGGATAATTTTGTTCGCGAGCGCGCAGGGATGCCAGGCGCCGTCAAGAAACGCGGCTAACAAACAGCGAACTACATTCCGCACAAGAACGCACAGGAGCAAGCTGGCTCAAAAGACGCGGTGGACCAGGAGGAACCACTGGTCGAGGTGCAGCACCAAAGTGGCGAAATTCATGAAGTCCACGTACCCGAGGACGACGACCGGGCGTGCAAGCGCTCAACGGAAGAGTTCCGGATCACCACGAGTGGGAGCGTGCAAGCGGCGGAAGCGCCACCACGGCGGGGGAGCAGGAGAAGCGACGCCAGGGCAACACAACGGCAGCGAAGGCAACGAGCCAGCGGAAAAGGCCACGTCCTGAACTGAAAGCGGCGGCGCCCAAGCCAGGGGTACAAGCCGACCCTGGGAGAGGGGCTGGTGGGGATACGTTTTTTTTTTTTTTTTTTTTTTTTTTTTTTTTTTCGGCGGCTCGAAGGACATATCCAGCGAGCGGGAATAACGTCTGGGCCACAGAGCGAGATAATTGGCTGCAGAGGCACGTAGGCCGCTGTAGCGAGTGCACATGCCAGGGACAAAGTGACCCTCATTGGGGACCGACGCAGGCGGCCCAGCGGATGGGGGCGCAAGCGCGGTACCGGCGGCGGACGGAGAAGAGCAGTCGCCCTCGCGGCGCCAAGCTCCAGCCGAACCATACAGCACGAAAAAGCGCGGAGCACGCCGCACTGTAACGGCACGGGGTGGCCAAGACGAGACCAAACTCCGGCCATCGCACACTGAAGGTGAGGCAAGAGGGAACAGGAGACGCAGCGGACGCCAGACGGGCACCCGGCGGCAGGAAAAGGGGAAAGGCACAGAGGGGAGCCTCACGCGCGGTGACTCACTGTCGCAGACGTCAGCCTGTGGCCAGTGTGTACGCAACTTATCCGACACTGGAGGATCGGGGGCACAAAGTTGCAATCGCTGACCGAGGCACCTGCAAGATGGGCCAGCTGGGGGAACGCCCATGACCTGCCGAAGGATGAACCACCCGTGCAGGAACACGCCCTTGCCAGGCCCGTCACTTGCAGAGGCGTGGCTAGACCACGTCAGAGCGCCATCTGGTAGAGAAAGACCACTGGTGTGCGCTCACGAGGCTGAGCCACCTCCAGCCAGTAGCCAGTGCATGCGCATCGTATCCGACTCGCAGTTCGGGGGCACAACGATGCAAAGTACTGACTAGGGCTGTTCAGAAGAGAGCGACCACGAACTGCAGAAGGCTGAACCACTCAACGCAGGGTCGCTCGCTTGACGAAGCCAAACACCGAGACGCCGAGTGTGTGGCTGACTGCTGCGCCCAACCACACCTGCCAAGCTGCCCGTGCAGTACTCTGGCGACGGGCACTGGCCGCGCGAGTAACCGCATCCGTCAACTCCGCACGCGAGCCCCTGCGACACGCGGACTGAGCATGTCGGAGTCGGATGGGGCGTCGCCGTCGGTTCCGTCGTCGGCGCTGGCGTCGCAGTCGAAGCCGGATCAGGCGACGCAGTCGGCTCCGTCGACGGCGCTGGCGTCGCAGTCGGAGTCGGATTAGGCGTCGCCGTCGGCTCCGTCGTCGGCGCTGGCGTCGCAGTCGGAGCCGGATCAGGCAGTCGGCTCTGTCGTCGGCGCCTGGGGGATCACCACTGTGGTGTCTTGGCGCAGGCAGGGCGTGCGGTGCGCCGAGATGAGCACCCACCTGTACGCTGGCACGTCGCCGGAAGCCAGATTCCAGGCCAGTGTGTGACCCGCTGGGGTGGTCGACGCTGTCAGCTCACCTGTCACGATGTCCCTTCACAGAGCTGGGGGCGCA